TGTTAAAAGAAGACCTTTTTGCGAAATAGATATTTATATAATTTTTCATATAAAGCATCCCTTTCCATATGTGTCTATCTTTTGTTTTATCCATTTTTGACTTAATTAATAGTCTACCACAGTGCAATTATGTGAGACGGAAGCTTTGCTCATTTCCTTGAACACATACCTGTAGAATTTCAAGGAAAAATGTATGAATTATAAACTTTTGACAATGTGGTTTCCAGTGTGCCTTGAACTTCTCATTAATAAAAAGACTATCATGCAAATGAGGGTCGAATCTCTATGTAGGATCTATCACAAACAGTGGCGTTTATTATCATGGTGTAAATTTTGAATTTACTGAGTGACAGTTCATGACAGCATTCCCCTTATATATATATATATATATATATATATATATATATATATATATATATATATATATATATATATATATATATATATATATATATATATATATATATATATATAATATTGAATTTAAAGAAGTCCTTGGTATAGGTAGTAATACAAAAAATATAATGAAGATTTCGTAGAAGATGGCACTTTAAGCCATAGCGCTTTCGCCTCTTGGCTCTTCAGTCTTCTGAAGAGCCAAGAGGCGAATGCGCTATGGATTAAAAGTGCCATTCTCTACGAAATCTTTATTATATATATATATATATATATATATATATATATATATATATATATATATATATATATATATATATATATATACCAGTATATATTACAGAGAAAAGCATATGTATACCAGTGTATATCACGGAGAAATTCGCTTTTTATAGGATACTCACTTCCACCTCAACCAAGGGTTAACTCTCGACCTACGGAATCTGTCTCCTAGCAGTATAGAAACAGCGCGCTGGACCGCTCGGCCATCTAGGCAAATCTTAAAACTTGCTTTCGATGTCGATAGAATTCTCGTGGCGCAACCCTACACTACGCGGTCATTGAGAATGGAAGTGAGATACAGATTTGTTTTGAAGCTATTTTATTGAATAAATCAAAAGGATCGGAAAAAAGTTTTAACAATTTACTGGTTCCACTAACAATATGTCATGCAAAATAGATCAATGATACAACTATTTGGACATAAGTTATATTAGAGGATCGTTACCGATACAACAATGAAATTAATTTATTTTTAAAGGAGAATTTTTTCATGAACTGTCATTCGGTAAATTCAAAATTATATTTATCTCTTTACTAACGTCTTAGGAGATGAGACGGAGTAGTGATAGAGCTATACCTAAGAAATTTTTGGTTCTGTTGAAAATGAAACTCACTACATGACAAGGTCATAACGGTGGGGTTTGGGATGGCATTGTCTGATATCTAGTCCTATAACTATCATATCTATTAACCGTGTTTTAAAGTGCATAGAATAAAGCTTTTTCAAAATATTTACTCTCAGATTTTCGAGTGCGCTTTCGTGTCAATTTATTACGCAGAAGAAATTAATCCAAGTTTTTAAATTTTTAAGAAATAACTTTGATATTTTTGTCTTGTTTTGTTTGTTCTAAATCTTTATGAAATGCTTTTGGAAATGTTGAATCAGGTATTAATTTCTAATTAAAAACCATAAAGCACTTTGACATTTTGTATTAAATTATGTCAATCGCTCAATAAAAATAGAATACAGGTAAACACAACATAGCATACATGTATATCTAAACAGAGGTAACAGGTAGGTTGAAAGGACGTCGCCCTATATTACATTCAAAAGTGCTTGGGTTGTGCTGTGTAGAGCAAAAGTATCAATTGGCAAATTTTGTTTAAAAATGGATAATTCTGGAAACATGAACGGATTTCAAGCACCCCCAGTGCAGGTTTTTACTATTTCAAGGTAATTTCATTTCTTGCTGAAAATGTACAAAATCGCGTAGTCGAGGTGAACGTTTAGACAGTGTATTTGATTATTCTTTGGATACCTATGAGATACAGATCTATGAGAATTTTCAGTCTCTGATTAGAATTACAGCATTTAAATACAAAGAAAGTGATGGAAAATACTAGAGTACCTAGAATTCTGTGCATTTCGAAAATTTACGAAACTAAAATGAAAAAAAGTTTCACTAGAAGTGTATGAAAACCGATATGCCTATTGTGAACTAGTTAATGTAAACACATGTCGACCATCATGGCAGTTGATAAACATCAGTAAAATGCTAATTTGTTTGAAATGACTTTTTGAAAGAGTTAACCAGTCGTGGATTTATTAAAACTTCATACAAATTTATTTTAAAAAGACCATTTAGTTTTGTCCTCTGCTTATGAATTGGTAATCATAGAATATTAGCAAAGAACAAGCAAATTCAAAGAATTGTGGAAATTGAAAAGGACTTAAGGTTAAAATTTTCAGTTAAGGTCACGAGATCAAAAACCAGAGAACATTTGAAAAAGTCTTGAAACAGGTAATACGCATGTAAAATATAAAAGATAATCTTCTCTCATTCAAAAATTATCAGCATTGAATATTAAAATTCTTGAAAGTTAGGTAAAACTTTAATGTCACGGGGTGAAAAATCATAAACATTCGAAAACGTCTTGTCATATATAATACACATGTCAAATATGCTTGCCCCATCTGTTTTCATTTAAAAGTTATGTACAATGTAATTTTTTTTTTTTTGAAAAGTATGTCAAACTTTAAGATCAGTGTTAGGGAGTCAATAATCATAGCACGTTCAGAAACATCTTATCACAGGTATGCACATGTCAATAATGAATGATCCATCTTTTCGCATTTAAAAGTTATAATCAGTGTTAAAATTTTTGAAAAGTAGGTCAAACTCCAAGGTCATGGGGTAAAAAATCAAAGTACATTTGGAAAGGCCTTGTCACAGGTAATGTGCAAGTAAAATATGAAAGCCCTAAATCCTCTCATTCAAAAGTTATGACTGTGGTTAAAGTAATGTGAAAATTTTTGAAAATTAGGTCAGACATCAAAGTTAAGGACACATGGTCAAAAAGTCATATTTTATCATTGGAAAGGTCTTGTCACAATAAATATGAAAACCCTATATTTTCTCATTCAAAAGTTATGACCAAGGTTAAAGTTTGTGACAGACAGACGGGCAGACTGACAGACGATTGAGATTTGATGTCCCCTCGCCGCTAAAGCAGGGGACAATGAGAGAAAACTAAAATCATTTTTCTAATTCTTTATCAGCTTTATAGATATTTCTACTAACTGTCCTACATGGCTTCATGCACATGTAATTGTACATATGCATGTAATTATGGATCACTGTATACTTAACTGTGTCTTCTGTATCTGTTGATAACTTTCGTGGAATTTTCTAGAAATGATAAAAATTATAGATGTATTTTATGTAATATTGACATCGTCAAAAGGATACATTATTGAAGGGTGTCCGATACTAGTATGTGATTTTGTATTTTAAGTTTTAACGTTAGTTAAAGCCTGATTGGTGGGCCAGGCGTTGTAGAATTTGTTACGAAAATAAGTTTAGAAAGTAAACAAACTTAAAGTCATTACTTACACGTTCACAAAAGCTCTTTATACTGTAAATTCCTTATTTTACGCGAGTACTTAATATCGCGAAATGGCCCAAGGGCGTCAAATCGCGAGAACAATAATTCGCGAATCGGTGATTTATCTGGAGATTTTACATACATTAAAGCACCATAAAAATAAAAGCGAGTCATTTTATTTCGCGCGATTGGTGCTTCTCGCGTAATTATGCGATAATTTATTTCTCGCGTATATTTAGGAATCTACAGTATGTGCCATCACGGACCTTATACCAAACCTGACACGTTACTTTTTAACCCATAATAAAAGTCATTGCTGTCACTGGCGGATTTAGAAGGTGACCCGGGCCCCTATTGTGTCCAAAATATACATAAGATTTTATAAATCAAATTTTTTTGGTGTGGCCGCGGGCCCCTACCGCGACCCCAAAACTGGTCGGGCCACCCTTTTCAAAATTCCTGGATCCGCCACTGGCTGTTATACGTGTTTACTCCATTTGATTTCATTCTCACTTTTCTGGCAAAAACACTGGGGGTAGTCGGTTTAGATATAAAGTTTCCTGTGTAGATTGATTTTTTTTACCACTGACATATGAATAAAAAGCACCAAATAGCCCTAGGATCGGTATGACTGAAATAAACTTTTCTATTGAGGATAGTATTACACTCAGTTTTATCAATAAAACTGCTTCAGTTACGCATCACAAAAAATGGTGAAGGTCTGTCCCCCTCATTATGATAGTCTTTCGATTTCTGAAGAGTGTCAGTAAGCCGTAGTAAAAATTGGTCAAGTTTACAGAAATCTTTATTTTGTGTTATGGGAGCTCACAGATGATAGTGTGTCCACATTAAGGTATTACAGTGTAATGTGGCCCCGTCCTTGATTGCATGTTTACAGTATAAAGCAATGGAGATCGACAATGATTTTGACATTATATGGTAATGTTATTATTTATATGTCCTTGATGTTATGCTGTGATGCAGTAATATACTGTACATTTTGCTTACCTTCGAAAAAGTACAATTCTGTACGTTTATGTGTCAATGGAATGCTGAAATCAAATATTTTGAACTTTTTTAAATTAACAATTATAGCATCGCTAACCATAGACTGTAAATAAAATACTATACTACATTCCAATTTTATTTTTGAGTCATTAATATTTTTTCTAATGAATTAGAATTTGAGAAAAATGAAGTAAATCAGTTAAAAACCTTCTTGGAGTTCTGCTTCTAAAGTGCTTAAAGTGTTTGAATACATTGTACTATAAACATTTTTAGCATATAAGTATTTTTTTCACCGTATAAATCATAGATTTATCCAGGCGATATAGGTAAATGCGTAGGATGTGTCCCAAATTGCATTACAGTGTAGAAAATATTTCACATTTCCCCCTAGGATATTTAGAAGCGATGTTGAAAGGTCTTTTTTATAACTTCTATAAAGGTTTCGAAGAGTATTCTTACTGAATTACGTTTGGTGTATATTCTTATAGTGAAATGGAGAACCACGCTGGGGAGGAAGGTATGAAGATGGTCAACCACACGGAAGATGTAACAGTGGAGGATCCAGTTGTTGAAGAGGCGGATTTTGACGGGCTTATTTATAAAGTTACAGATAATCCGCCCATGCATCTCACCATTTTATTTGCATTCCAGGTAGGAATTGAATCCATGCAGGACGTTCTTTAGAACTTGATTGTTCCAAAAAACCTCATATTCTCTTGCCTTGCAAAAATTGTTCAGAATATCATTGTTCAAGTAAATTGCAATGATGCTTTCTTTATCTTAATTATTATTTATGTTCCACATCATATTTAAATTTATTTATTCATTTATTTAATGCATATTTTTATGCCCTCATAATCGGAGATTTGGGGGCATATTGTTTTTGGTCTGTCTGTTCGTCTGTCTGTCTGTTAAACCTGTTTGTCTGTTTGTCCGCAAAAAATTTTAACCTTGCCCTTAACTTTTGAACGCTTGGTGCCAAGGCTTTCATATTTCACATGTGTATTTCTTGTGACAAGACCTTTCTTTCAGTACCTACTTTTGCAAAATTTTTCCAAACTTTGACCTTGACCATAACTTTTGCACAATTGTACATTCTTGAGATGATGTATTGACCTTTCATCTTTAATTGAACAAATGTTCTCTATATTTCAAGGGGAGCAGATTCTGTGATTTGAATGATTTTGACAACATTTTAGTACTAGCATTTATCAGCAAAATAGCAACATCCTGACTTAGACAATTAGCATATCACTTTTCAAAGAGCTATATGCTACGAAATGGGAGGGGACAAATTTAAAAGCAACATATAAAGATTGTCTTCATAGAGATGTTTTAAAATTTTCATTTAAACATTATATCGAATGTATATACTGGTATATACATGACCGTCTCTGTTCATGTGCATTTACAAATCACCTTTATTAAAATAGCTACTGAGTATGCAGTCAATTCACTGTCGTTTAACAAACTACTGCTTAATCAGTATTTGGATGTTAGTTAGCGTTTACTTGTTTAGTAAGATATAGTAATACGAACTTGTTACAAATTTAAGATTCGTATAAAACTAATATTTCGCAAAATGTCAGGATCCAAGATCCTTTTCGCTTGGTCTTTTCTAAAATGTCATAATTGTGTAGTGTTTCCTTAAGTTTGGAACAATTGTGAATCAGGACAAGCCCAGTTAAAGTTCAACAAAGATGTATATTGAAAAAACAGTTCTATGTGTTTGTGAAACACTGGTGCCCCGAATGGCAGCTCAAGGCCAAGGTTAAAGTTTTTCAAATGAAGGTCAAACTCCAGGGTGAAGGTCAAGAGTTCAGAAATGTTCGTACCTAAGAGAAAGGTCTTGTCACAAGGAATACACATGTGAAATATGAAAGCCCTAGTACCAACCACTCAAAAGTTATGGGCAAAGGTTAAAGTTTTTTAAAAGTAGATCATACTCCAAGGTCAAGGTCATGAGGTCAAAAACATTGGTAACAAAGGAAAGGTCTTGTCCACAAGAAATGCATATTTATAATTAAGTGAAATATGAAAGGCCTACCACCAACCGTTCAAAAATTAAAGGCAAAATTAAAGTTTTTACGAAGGTAAGTCAAACTCAAAGGTCAAGGTTAGGAAGGCAAAAATATTGGCACACAAAGGAAGATCTTGTCACAGGGAATATACATATAATATATGAAAGTTCTAGCACCAACCGTTCAAAAGTTATGGTCAGCGTTAATTTTCACACATTTTTGAAATAGGCTCAATTTTTTTCTCTCGAAATGTTTAATTTTAGCTTGTAGACTAAATATTTCATTTTCTAGCATCGTTTAGATATCATTAGAACTTGAGTAAAAATGTTACGAAGAGTTATATTTCTAATTTGCCAAGAAAAAAGAGAAAAGATAGCAAAAACTGGCAGAAAGGAAACTGAAATACTACAGAAATTGTATTACAATTTGGACACCAAGAACGTATCGGGAAAAAAATTATGAGCGCATGTATTCTAAACTTAAGCGTAACTTTTCATATTACCGCTAGATGTTTCATCACTTCCACAATTTTTGAAATGTGTCCTAATATAATTTCAGCAAGCTTTGCTTTCCTTAGCGAATCAGTTAGCCCTGTCTCTGATGGTAGCAGAGGCTGTTTGCGGGGACAAAAATCCAGAATTTAAGACAAAGCTTCTGAGTACAACACTGTTCATGGATGGTATCACCACCCTGGCTATGGTACTGATTGGCGTCAGGTGCGTGTTTACAGCATTTTCAAACTTTACAGTATTTTAAAGTAGTTTGCATTTATATCTGGTAATGTTCGCATGCTCACATTTTCAAAGAAAATGACTGCGAAGACTTGCACTGAGGAAACGAGCATTAAGTTAACGGAAAGAAAGGGTATGCTTTAAACCAGAGATTGGATGTTATTTTACACGTTTCTATCCTGATATAGTAGGGGAGCTAGCCTTTTTGAAGATGTTTTTTCCAAGTTACTCTCAAACCCGAATCAAATTTGCATGGTTAATCTACCCATTATATCTGAAAATTGATGTGCTGAGCAGGTTATAATTCTTGGTGCATGTTTAAGTCTACGGAAACTAATTGAAAATAGCCCGGTTTTACCCATACATAGCTTTCGTCCAGATGGTTAGTGAAATCTTTGTTCAAATGATATATTTTCCGTAATTTAAACTGCATGAAACAAAATATCTACAACAGTTCCAGTTTTAGTTTAAGGTCAGACAACACCTTACTCAATAATATATAATTCTTTCCAAGAATTTGTAATTGAAGTATTGCTATATTAACAAGTTTTCTCGCAAAAAATTAAGGTACCAGGCGTTTATGGCAGATACCAGAGGATGTTATATACTACATACATCTATTGGAAATCCCTAGCATTGCCAATATCACAATTAATTTTTGGTGTCTTTATTGAAACATTTTGAAAACAGTTTAGAAATCACAAAATAATATAAATTATGATAAATTTGTTGTATATTACGAAAAGATACAAAACAGATATTCAAGCATCGTGTCGTCAGACCTTTATATCAGTATGGTATATGCAAACTGTAGTTGAATAATTATTGAGAAAAAATTATCCCATCATTAATTTATCCCTGAAAGCATGACAGTAATTGAACGTTATGTCAGTGGAAATATATCATTAAATGTAAAATTAATTTAAAAAAGAAATTTATGGTATGAACGCTAGAACGAAATTACTTCTTTGGAACTCAATATTGCATTTCTGTTTTAGTCTTCAGAAGAGCTCTGTTCAATCAATTGTTAACAGAACATCGTTGTTTTCAGACATCAAATGCTAATTAATGTTTTCTTTCACATCTTAAAAAAAGAATCTCCAAGTTTAGCCAATATTTCAAGGGGATATTAATCAACTTTTTGCTCAAAAGACTGAAAAAGTTGTAGAGCGTTCGTCATACAAGTCGTAGTCAAAGTGAAATTAAGAAGTCAAGTGTGATCACACACGTCATCCAATTTTTTCCGTTTCCTTTCTCGGAGACAAACCGATCTATTAAGGACGTTAATTGCTGAAAAATCATGTCTCTTTGACAGTTATATTATTTTCTCCATTTTGCATAAACTTTGTATTCATATGATGGTAAAGCCAAAGACACATAATTTGTCAGTCTAGACGAGCTGTAGATTTCTTGACTGTTTGGTAAACTTTTGATGACAGCCATTTAAGTGTGGTGTAAAGTGAGAATTGTACAAATGATAGTTTCTTTGCCATCTGCGAACAACTTGCTTTTCTAAACGCCTTCACAATCCCGTGTAATGTACAAGAATAGAAATGTTTGCCTTTTGAGCACTTATTAGTATTGAATTGTCGTTCTGACTCTCCTTTCTGAGTATACTTCGGTATATAAGAAACCTGAAATAGAGAGGGCATTAAAAATTAACAATGGTGCTTGTAAAGTCGATGTCTGGAACGCAAAGCAGAAGCTTATGCTTTAATACTATTATTCAGGAGGGAGCTGGCTGACTTTTTATTGACCCGTATTCGAACATTCGGGGGGCGTATGGTTTTTTTCTCTGTCCGTCCGTCAGTCTGTCTGTTTGTCTGTTTATCCACAAAAACTTAAACATTGGCGGTAACTTTAAATCGGTTGGAGCTAGAGCTTTTACACTTTACATGTGTATTTCATGTGACAAGACCCATATTTCACCTCTTGATCTTGAAGTTTGACCCACTTCTGCAAATTTTACCAAACCTTGACCTTGGAGTTTGGCCTACTTTTGAAAACCTTAAACTTTGGCCTAAAGATTTGAATGGTTAGAGCTTGGGCTTTTATATTTCACATGTTCATCCTTGTGTCAAGACCTTTCTTTGGGTACCAACAATTTCAACCTTTTTACCTTGAACTTGGAGTTTGACTTGCATTTGAGAAACTTTAACTCTCAGCATGAGCTGCCATACGGGGCATCAACGTTTCACAAACACATCTTGTTTTGCAATTCACGTACATGTGTATGTTGCACTTTATACAACACTATACATTTTTCAAGATACACTTACCTTTGGGACTTTTTGATTGACCTAGATAGACAGCCTTCTGAGTTCTCTAAAATGAATGCTTTGGCAATTACTATACTGTACTATCTGACTGATCTGATTTTTGTCATTTCTGTAGGTAATTAAAAGCCCACTGATGTTCTACGTATTCTGTATTTCAGGTTACCCTTGTTTCAAGGTGCCGCCTTTGAGTACGTGGTACCCCTTCTTGCTCTTCAAACTCTTTACCCCGATAGATGTGATGCTGGGAAATCTACGGGTCTGTAGTAAAAGAAAATTGACTCAATTTCTTAGTTTATTACATGATTTTATAGTACAGATGCAAGAAATTTACAATAGCGAGTGCTTTTATTCAGAGCTTATGTTGTCATATGTACAAGTCACTGACTTAAAACGGTTCCAGTATATTTTTAGCCCGGAGTCACGCAGAATCTTCGTTTCAATTTTTTAATATTGAAATATTATTTAGAAATATATTGAACTTCTGACAAGTCAAATATATAAGTATAAGAACAAATTTTACACTGTGATAGTCTTATTTTTTCTCTCATTAAGTTTTCTGAGTTTTTCAAAATTCTTGATATATGTTTAAGCACTTGCAATATCAACATAAAAAATATTTACTTTCAGTTACGACACTCTTTAATGAGACGACTGGTATAAATACTACAATCGTAATAAACTCCACTATGGACGAATGGGAATTAATTATGTCACATGTTCAATACGTAAGTATCACATGTTTAATACGTAAGTTACCACGTGTTTAATACGTAACTTACTTTCACATCTTTGGACATAATGCATTCCTATGACATGTATATACATGTACTCAGTTTAGAAATGTTTAATGCTCTTTTTGTCAGGGTTTTTCGGTCAAAATTCCAATTATTTTTTTCATCAATTATTAATTGAAAAAAGTTTTTTTAATTCAATGTGTAGATTATAGTTAAAGATGATAAATATATACGTATATGTATTACACGTATCGTGACATTTTAGAAAGACATAACAACTAAACATATCCCCTGAGATATAACATCGAAGCAACGCTGCTTTAGCATAGCTCTATTGGTTTCAAAATTTAAAAACCCAGAGAACCTTCCGATATAACTTCTTTCTTGACCACAGTTTTACTATATATAGTTACAGGGAAGTCTAATGTCAGCTGGCTTCATCCATTTCCTGATAGGAGCTACGGGACTCGTAGGACTGATTTTAAACTTTGTTGGTCCTGTCACAATCGTTCCCACTATTCTATTGATCGGCATCTACATGCAGAGAGCGGCCGTTAAGTTTGTTTCAGTCCACTGGGGTATTGGCTTACTGTGAGTATGTCAGTCAACTACAGTTAAACATGGCCAAAGAAAATCCCCCGGGAAAGTCAGTGTTCTGAATATTTCGTTTTGATTAGTCGTATTGTCCTTGCAAAGTTCAGAATGATTCTATAAAGTTCAAAGTTACGTGTATGCAAATTAAAAGCTAATAATTCAAAGTTTAAAATAAAATTGTTTAATGAAGGCGACAGGCATTTATGTACATACATTGAAATTTCTTTCATTTTTAGAACTGACTTAACATGTCTTAATGGGTTTTCAGTACAGCGGGTTTGGCTGTTATATTCTCTCTATACCTGGCTCGATGGAAACTTCCTATTCCAATGTGGACGAAGAAGAGAGGCTGTCATGTTATGCGATACCCGCTACATCAAGTTTTTGCGGTAGTAACCCGGATTTTTATGTAGCCTAGCTTTTTCGAACCTGAAATCTCTAAACTATTGTTAAAAATAAGGTTCGTTTTAGAGTTAAGAAATGATTTTAGCTTATTTTTATATTTTCCCTCTTTTCTCTACTAAAGAAAATCTTGTACCACAAAATTTGAAACATTGAGTAGAATTGTTGTAATATTGTTTAAACATATTTATATAAAGTGTGGCAAGTAATCATTTACAATTATAATTCAATACCGAGAGAATTATCAACTGACAAGTCATTTACTACACGATTTTCCCTCTTTCTTTCAATTTCTAAGTATAGCCTTTTCTTAGCAATATCTAAAATAATTTATGACTATAAACTAGATTCATTTGTGTGTACTAGATGATTGGATACATCTATACTTACATAGATTCTGATTGCCATGTTGATCGGCTGGGGAGTTAGTGGTGTATTTACAGCCTGTGGATTACTAGAAGGTAATGATTTGGCCAGAACAGACCTAGGACACGAAGCTATTGCAGATGCCAACTGGTTTTATTTTCCATACCCAGGTAACAATCCAAATTTAAGTTACAAGTTTATCTATCCTATATTGAAGCACGATTTTTCAAATATTGTGACTAAAGAATGATATTCAAAGACTGATTTTGGAAAATTCCTACAAATAATCAGTTAATCAGGATAACTTTGATCAGTGAGATACTACAGGGAATTTCAGTTAGTAGACTTTATAAAAAAAAATAATGTGATTTCAAGTTGAAATATGTCATTCACTGCACGTTACCAACAGTTATTGTTTGCGACAGAGTATCGGACTTTCTCTTGTTTTCAGCTCAATTTGGCCCTCCAGACTTCAGTGTTAGCGTGTTCATAGGGTTCCTTATAGCCACTCTCATTTCTGTGTTAGACTCCATTGGAGATTATTACGCATGCGCAAAAACATGTAATGTTCCACCTCCTCCTAATCATGCGATCAACAGGGGTATTGCCGTAGAAGGCATCTGCACTTTCTTTTCCGGAATAATGGGATGTGGTCATGCTACCTCAACGTATGGTGGCAACATTGGAGCTGTCGGAATAACCAAGGTATGAATTGATTTTAGTTGAGAGCATGTAAATGATGCTCAAATTATAAGAGGGATGATATTTTTTTCCCCAAAAATTTATTTTATTCATATATAGAGTATACATGTATATATTCTAACTATTTGCATTTTTAAAAACGTTCCTGTTTATTGTAAAGAGTGTGGTAATTGCACTCATTTGGATAGTGTGTTTTATTGTGAATTTTAAGATATTAACATTGAATTCATTTACATGTATTTGCGCATGAGTTTGTGTCTGTATCTCTTAGTATAGTGATGTAGAGAATCAAAACAGATGGGGGGAAGAGTGGGCCACAAATGGAGATCAAAGTTTCACACGGGAATATATAGGAAATTTTAAAAAAAAACTTTTCAAGAGAAGTAGGGCCACAATCATATAAATATGCAAACATTCATTTTTTCAAAATATGGACATCGAGGTTATCAGATGGGGTTAAATTTTACATTAATGGATGTATACAGTATTTTTGTTTAAATCTTCTTATCCAAAAGAGCAAGGGCATATAAATAGTGAAGCATCTTAATGTTGTGTAGTTTTAAGTTCAATTTGTAAGTCATAATCCCTTGAGGCTACGGTTGGGGTCACAGTATGGGGTTTAAAATTCATAGGAATAACGAGGGAAAAAATCTTCTTTTGAAAAACAGCAGGACCAAGGTGACTCAGGTGAGCGTTGAGGCCTATGGGTCTCTTGCTTATGAATTTTAATTTAATTAACTAAAGAGCACTTTTCATGGAAACTATATAGTTCTGCTTTCATTTTAGGTTGGAAGTCGACAAGTGTTTTTATTCTGCGGAATTCTCTATATCGCCTTTGGTCTGGTTGGGAAATTTTCTGCAGTGTTTATCACCATTCCCCATCCCGTACTGGGCGGGGCTCTCATTACCATGTTTGGTATGTTTATTGGAGTAGTACTGTCAAATTTACAGTACGTCAATCTTACTTCTACTCGGAACCTTGCCATTATTGGGCTTTCCGTAATAATGGGACTTGCTGTACCATATTGGGTGGAGAAAACTCCCGATGGCATCAGAACAGGTATGATTTGGTGTTTTCCATTCCCGTTGAAGAAAAATTATAAGTACATATATATGTTACTCTATAATTTGAAGAGATTTACGAGTTTTTGCAGTACTCACAGTGTTTTGCGTTATTTTTTAAGGCAATGAAAACGCTGACAAAATTCTACGGACACTTCTTGGCAATGCGAATTTGACAGGTGCCCTTCTAGCGTGTTTCATGGACAACACTTTACCTGGTAAGTTTATCTTATACATAGATGTGGTTTTTGTGTATTTGTTTGTTTTTGAAAAATGGATAGTATTATAATTAATTAGCTAACAGATTTGTTGTTGAAGGTTTTAAATCCTGCGTTTGTTTTGAAGGGACCAAGGAAGAACGTGGTATTACAGCGTGGCAGAGTTCAGAGAAACCTGAGGACGGCACTGCCGGGCATTATACACAAGGAGATATTTCTTTATATGAACCTCTGCTTCCACAACGAATCAAAGACTTACCAATTATGAAATACATTCCATTCTTCCCCAATCCCAAGCCCAGGCAAACAAAACAGGACGCGATTATGAATGACGAATTGCACACTCTGCCATCATTATGATGTCAAACCAGCTTTAGCCATTTTCAAGAGAATTTAGTATAAAAGCCAAAGTGTTCACCATATCTAACTTGGATATCTCTGTTATAAACCAAGTTAATTCGCAAAACAAGGCAGATCTAGGATTGACTTTGAATCTCATTCCATCATGATTTTATGGAAAATTATTCATTTTTTTTTCTTTTTCAAATATTAGTTTTGATATTTCAATACTATATATTTTATCTACTTGATTTGTTCGTTTTCGAACAACACTTTTGATTAATTTATTTTATTGAATATATATTTCAGACGGGGAAAATCATGTACACTAAATACATTTTTATAATAAATATAATATACATTTTGATAATAAGGTCAACGGGGGTGGGTGGGTGAGTATCACATTATATTAGATAGTACAATACATGCAACTCATTGTGTTAAAAAAAATTATTTCACAAAATACAACCACTTTTTTGAGAATTTATATGGAGATGTCTACCCTGGTAACTAGTGAATTTCTTTGATGCTATTTTTTTCACACAAAAAATAAAAACAGAAAGGGCATGTTACTGTGATCTGCAAGAAATGTACATTTTACTACGAATTTATTTACAACTCATAAATAATGATGGATAAAGTACCCGAAATCGAGAGTTGATAACTGTCTCTCCCTCTTTAACTGCTATTTAGATTAAACAAATGTATTTTAGCGTAGAAAGGAAATTACGAACAGAAAAGATATGGAAAAATAAAGCTCGATTAATAGCTTATTTAACTAAAATATCCTAAATTAGTCACATTAATTAAAGTAACTCAGTGTAAAGGTACATAGCATTCAAGGGATGTGTGATATTATCAGGGAAGTACGTTATATGTATAGCATATGTGCGTACGTCCCTGATTTTACCAAAAGTTCATGCTCAGGAATCGGCACGTGTAATTGAGACATACTTCTTCCGTATATTAGTAAATATAAAATTAGACTGTAACGCCACTGAAGGTTTTGTTGTATACATGTATATGAGTATTGTAATTTATGATTAATTATGTGAGGCTATAAACAAATTATATTTTTTTCTCTATTTATCGCTACTATAAGCACAATGTCTACTTCAATGCACATAAAATTTAGAAATTTACCAAACAATGTAATATACACGTGTTTTAATTTTTTTTTCTTTTTATCATACTTTTAGCTATCATTGTGTATATATTTTGAGGGGTTTTACAATGATAATTATTTTCTACCGGTACAGTCAAAGCATATTTGAAAGAAAAAATAACAATATATTTTATGTTTGTATATATTCCGTGCATTTTACAACTTTATCTAAAGTTTTGTTTGTTGACATACATGTGAGCACACTGGTTAGTGTTTTAATACTTCGACGGTTTGCTTCAGGCAAGTTCCAAATATTATTTTAAATCTACTTTATCTACATACATTTATAAATTTATAGATATGAAGCAATTTTGTAACTTCATTTTTGTCTGTACAGTCAAATGAAATGAAATGATATACATTGTATGTATATTTCTTCTACCATTTATCATGCAAGCAAACATTGCCAATAAAATTGTTTTTATGGCGCTACTTTTTTCTTTGAATCTTCTACCATCAGAACTTATAATATGTCAAACATTCATGAAAGTATTTTACTATGTTGCCCGCCGTAAGCTCACTTTAGCCGAAGGTTTCTGATCTATATCTACTGAGGTCAAGGGGGGTGTTTAATTAAATGCTGGGGTGTTAACGTTCTGTGTGTCTTAATAACCTGTGTATAACCTTGATCTTTGAATGGATTGACATAGAGACATGATTTAAGGAACTTGAATAACATTTCTAATTTTATACAAGATACAGTGATATTCCTTGATCCTTGAATTTTCCGTCTGTTCGTAGAAAAATGATTGATTAGTAGATATGCATTTTTCTATTGTTTCAAAAGCCTTCATTTTTTTCCAGTTTTAGGTACTATATTAATTTTTTTTCCTGAAAAAATAAAACAAGAAAAACTTTGTTGATTTGCTTTCTAGCATCAGACTTCTCAATTGAAGATGAACTCAGTTACAATACAGTACTTGTTTACCGGTGTTCGTTGCACTTCCTCAGTTAGGTGTGTTATGGGAGATTCCTAGGCCTGCTGGTATGGTATTTCCATGCAAAGATAAGAGGGGTAGCTGCGAAACTGTAGCTCTCCGGAAAAAAATATTGATAGACCGGAAGGTCGACCATCCCATTTTTTTTTTCAGACCAGCGAGCTATGTACAGATCTGCAGTGATAAGAGGAACTTACTGCATCAGTGCAGTAACAATAATTTATCGCCCCGGTTATGAATTGCAAATGTGGTTAGGTAGCTATATAGGATCTTACACTTTATGAATGATTAAATGGTAGGCTAATGGAAAATATAAAATCCGCGCTATTAATTGTTTGATTACCGAGGTGCCATGCAGATATAAGGATGGGTTGTGAAAAGATGGGGGGGGGGGGATCCGTACAGGGGTAAAAACTAAAAAAAAAAGGAGAAACGGATCCGTCCCATTACATATAAACTACAACTGGTGTGGAATCATTAAAATGTGTATCCTTATCTGTGAAGGAAGCCACCCAAACTACATGAAGTTTTTAAAATTAAAAAAAAAAATTCCGGATTGTTTCACGGATTATACTTTTATATTATTTATTACCCGGAAGTTGTTTTTTTTTCTCAACATCATGAACATGGTGGACACCGGAGGTGTCCCTTGTTTTATTTTAGCGTTCTTGGTGAGTAGCGTCTTTTGACAGTCAAACTTAATGTACTAATTTAGCAAGATTTGTAGTTTTAATATCACTTTACGAAATGATTAATTTTTTTTCACATGGAATGGCATTAATTGTTATTCTAAACGGAAATTAATCTCTTGCTGACACGTATAATCTAAATGTGCTGTATGACTGGGGTGGCTAGGTTATAGTAAATAAAAGGGAAGACTTTAATGTATCCCCTTCAGTATTCTTCATTTTATTTTTTCTGAAATGAAAATTATCTTATTAAATAAGATAGATATTTTATTGTTATAATTTCAGGAGTTTTTTTTTCTAATCACTGTCCCAGGAAAGAGGGTCAAAATATGGTCAGGTCCAGCACAATCTCTTGATTAAGCTATATAGCTTGAAATAGCTATATAGCTTTATTAAGCTATTCAAAATAGCTTGATAAAGCTATTTATATGCAGGTTTTCACAAAAATGTTATTTGTACAAAATAGACAAAAAGTCGCAAGTATATGACTATTCATATACGTAATATGGGTAATCAAATCAAAAACCCAAATCAAAGATAGTTCTAACATTGCAGCATTTGAATACTTTTAAGTGATAGATGAATTTCCATTGTTTGGGTAACTGTACACTACCTTGTGTGCGTTGAGGCATGGATAAGTATGATTGCTTCTCATTGTACTGAATTATTACCAATCAATTATCTTGTTGACCATAATTGGCCTCCTTTATAATTTCATTGAAGAAGTAACTGTTTCAATTGCTTTATATAGCCCCAAAACTTTTAGAACTTTGAGTACAAAGTCTCTTAAGGAGACGCAATTTGATGAGTGATTTTTACATGCATTATTTTCATAAGAGTTCAAGTTTGAATATCATCACTGCACCAAGGTGCGACTTTTGGTGCATACTTGGAAAATAACACATTTGAGATCAAAGTGTGATAAAATAGCTAAATCAAGCTATTCTGAATAGCTTAATAAAGCTATATAGCTAAATCAAGCTATATAGCTTAATCAAGAGATTGTGCCGGACCTGATGGTTGCAAACCAAAATGACATTTATTTATAGCGAGAGATATATTTATGGTTTTATTTTCAAGAACTTTTCTTTTTAACCTATTGGTTAGCAAATAAGTTTTTCATAAGGATCATGGTTGTAAATTGCCTGGTCCTATGTAATTTATTTTTGATTTACAGCAACTTAGAAGTCCATTTTTTTTTTTGTAATACAATTTTTTTTGTATTACAAAATTTGTAAACATGTTAAATTTACTTGAAAATATGCTTTGTTACAGCTAGTTATCGACAGGGTAGCTTCAAGTTTGTTGTCAGTTGAGGAATGCAGGAATCTTGGTTTTGTCTCCACTGATCTGATGCAAGATGCCTGTAATGAACTGGACCAGTTCAACTTGTCTTCATTAAAAGAGAGCTGTTTGAAGTGTAGCCAGAAAGAAGAGTCAGAAAGTGAAGCCACAAAAGTAAATTGTCATTCATATGCTTTAATATTGAACAGGAGTTAGAAAGTAATATTGTAATGATCTAATCACTGGAAAGCAAATTTGTTCAACCTTTGATCCAGTAGTGTTCAGTAATGTAGTCAGTCTCAGTTCTTTTCTGGTTTGAATGTTTACAGATGTTTATGTAGGAGAGTTCTCATTCACCAAATCTATATTTAAAAAATGGTGTCTGGGTAGCTCAGTGGTTAGCAAACCTGTTGCAACTCAAGTTTGATCCCTGTGATCAACAGTAGTTGTATGTGAGAGGTCCTTCCCTATGACATGTGGGTTTTCTCTGGATACTTCAGTTTCCTCCCACAGAAACGACTCCAGACTTATTTGCAATAAAGGACCCCATTCTAATTAAGCTTTTGTGCTTTCATGGGCTATCATTGGTATTTTATGTATGTATTTATGTATATACTGAATAAACATTTAAATTTTATTTTTATTTAACTTTTCAGCTTTATCCATATGCTGAGTTGCATGTGTGCAGCTGAAAATTGGGACGGTTCCCACAAGTGCAGGGTAAGCTTTCAGGTCTCCTTTGATATAAAAAAATGGCTTACTAAAGTTTTGAAAAGGTTGAACTGAAATTATTAATATCCAATTTGAAGAAATTAGAATCATTATAAGCTTTTAGTACCCTAGATCCAGATGCTATTGATTATATGTACAATCAACCAGATAATTGAAGTTAAATCCTCAATCTGCAACCTATTTTGCTATGGTGCAATGAAGCATAGTATGTCATAAAAAGAGCTTAATAACATTTGACATGAGATTGTATGGTGCAAAACTGCAAATACAATTTTCTCATTGAAATGTATGAAAAAAGTAGTAATATTTCTTTAAAAAGTAATGAAAAATTATCTTTTCAGCATTTGTGAAGTCGGACCGTATCAAACAATTTCCTCGTCTGTCTGTGCGTTATGTGCGGGGTATGGACCCTGTGATAAAGCTGATGGATGAGAATCGTAATGTTGTGGAGGAGCTCGGAATTGATAAATGGAACACAGACTCTGTGGAAGCTTTCTTTCAAGAAAGATTACAAAAAAATTAAGTTTTATGTTTAACCGTTCAGTTACATAATAGGTTTCAAAATTTATTTCAAATATTAATTTAACTATTTCTTGAAATTTTAAGGCTTAATTGAGTAAAGAATCCCAGTAACACATCACATCAACACCTAAAAAAGTTCATCACATTGAAAGTGTCATTAAAAAATACAATGTATTAAGATAATCATGTATGATTATTTTCCTTCAAATAACATCAAATCACACACAAGTTCATAATTTCATGGTTACATATGTGATTTTTTAACTTGAGTCAATATCTTTTTCATTGCTAAGAGTCCTGTGATCACAGATTGTGAAACCATGATGCTTTAACACAATGCGTTTCTCCTGGTTTGTAATGAATCATCTAGATTACAGGTTGAGCCTGAACAAAGACCTGCTTCAATGAAGGCATTGCAGGAAACCTCATCAGAGGTCAGCTTTGCCGGATCCCAGATCCTGGTTCAGGCTTTGCTGGAACCAGATGGGTCATAATAAACTGGAAGACTGCAGTGTGTCATTTGTAAAATAAATATAAACAAATGTGTTTTATGTATTATTTTGTTCACCTTTCTTTCATTAGTTTTCAATGAATTGAGTAAGAGAAGCATGTGATTATTATAGGTCATGTGATTGCGATCCTCGATCTTGCCATTCAAGTACTAGAACTAGTTTTACTGAAATATATTAGTAGAATTTTTTTTTAAAAATGTCAGTCTTGAAATTAATACAGACCTTAAGACTATCAAGAGGTCATGATGGATATATAAAATATTCTACAGTTGTTATCTACATGCAAAATATGAGTCTACATTAATAGACAAAAAATGTTTTCTCAGAACACGCACTTTGTCTCAAATTGTAGTACATGTACATTGACTTTAAGGTCAAAGGTCATATTGGAACAAAGATTGACATACATTTATTATTTGGTGATATATCCACGTGACAACTGCATTTTTCCTTAGTAAAAATTGTGAAAAGTTATAACAAAAAATATGTTTATATAAGTAAAATGAAAGAAAGTTAAGCCAGAAAGTTTTTTTTTTCATTAATATTTTCTCAATAATGCTCTATAAAGTAAAAGACTACTGTATAGATTTATAAGGGAGAGCAAAAAGGAAGACATTTAATTGAACTTCATAGAAAGTAAACAGTTTCTTAATTATTTAAACATTCCATATGCTGAATCATTTACAAGCAAAAGAAGTACATATATATAGAGAGAGAGAGAGAGAGAGATCACTTTTTATTCACGAGAACTATTTTTGACTAATTACGCGAGACCATCTGCTCGCGAAAATTACATCTACTGTTAAAGCCATCACTAATAGCAACAAATCAAGTTTAGACGCTTCTAATGAAGAGTTTCAAAGAATAGGACTGGGCATATTGTCAGTATGTTAATATTGGCTGGAGATATATGTACCAGTATTGTCATCTATAAACCAATGTTAGCTGCTGTTGTTATCACTGAAGGTACTCCAGGTTTTGTCTGTTCGATCTGACATCCTATCAGCTGTTGTGTAGAACCAGCAAGTTCAATAAAGAAACATATCTGATAATATGATCCTGGTGAGAGTCCAGTTATTGCATGATTCCGTTCGGATTTGTCTATTGGAAAAGTTTTGATAACTGGATCATTCACTCCTAGCTGATTATACTGCACCTGGAAATTTTTTTACGTATGTCAAGTTACCATTAACAGTCCAGGAGATTACTATTGTGGTCTTGTTCACAAATGAAATTCCAAACTGAACATCCGGTAGAGGGACAGCTGTTGTTGTTTTAGTCGTGGTAATGGGTGGAACTGTCGTCGTGGTGAATCCCGGACATGTAGCAGCTGTAGGCACACTGTTGCAGAATTCATACTTTTGTAATGTTGACAGTTGTCTGTTTGCTAAATTGGATGGAGAACTACAAGGTACGTATGTATATCCTCCATTTGAATTTATCGTTCTGAGAAGCTGGTACAAACCATAGAGATTGCAATTACAGGCAAGATAATTTCCTGCGGCAAAAACAAACTTCAGTTTGCTAAATCCTTTAAATACACATTCATCTATTACATTGATTTGGTTATAAGAAATGTCTATGCTTTCCAGAGAAGCTTTAAGTCCATGCAGAGACTCCTGCCTTAGCACTGGGAGATTGATATTTTGCATTTTAAGGCTTCCCAGTTGGTTATGGCTGTAGAAAATTAAAGGTGGTATGTTGGACAGCTTTGTTTTGGAAATGTCAAGGTTTCTCAGTTTCTTCATGGCTCCAATAGCATCCCAAGCATGTTGTTCTATCAAATGGTTACCCTGTATATAAAGAGTCTTTAGAGCTGATTCTGTCCCTTGGAAGATGTCCAAGCTGAAGTTAAGATAGCACTTACCTCAAACTGGTTTCGAATATCAAGAGTGTCAAGAAGTGGCATGTGAGCAAATGCACCTTTCTGAATAGTTTTTATATAATTTTCAGACAAGTCTAGATTGTACATACTTCTAAGACCTTCAAAATCATTGCTTTTTATCTGCCTTAATTTATTGCCTGCCATCCGTAGACTGGCTAGTTTTGGCATGTTTTTGAATAACCCAGAAGGAATGTCTTGAAAGTCTATTTCCATGAAGCCTAGGTCAAGCTGTTCTAGCTTGGGCCACGAATGATTACCCAACGGCAGGATGTTGTGTTCATTTAGTTTATTTATATGGAGACCCAAAAACTCCAATTTTTCTGTTATTCCATTGAAGCACCCATCCTCTAATGTGGCAATCTGGTTTCCTCTCAAGTCCAATTCAATAAGATTGCCAAGAGAGGTAAATGCTCGAAATGGAACGTTTGTCGTCCCATTATGCGCCAATGAGAGATATTTCAAGGTGCGTAGTCTGTTAATTGCAGAATGTGGAAAAGTAGGGACATAATTGTCATCAAATTCAAAGTCTTTTAACACTTGTAATTAATCCATGAAGGAATCAGCAGACACAAACGTTGTCTGCATGTTTCGCAACCGCAGTTTGAGTAGATTAGGAAAATAATAAAATGGGGAACTTCTTTCAATTCTTGGCATATTAAAATATTCCAGCTCAAGTTCGTGAAGATTAGACAAGTCTTGCATTTGGCTGAATGGAGGTGGCAATACCGAATCTCTACGCAGCCTGATGATTTTCAGATCGTGTTGCAATCCAGAAAAGGCCAATGGATGAATGCTCTGTAATCGAATGTTTTCACCTCTCATGTCAATTTCTTCAACACGAATTCCTTGGAATGCATTGGCATGAACAACTCGATCCTATTAGTGAGGGAATCAAGATCTAGTTTCAGGAATAGCTCTGCGGATGGGGTAAAATTTGGCATTGAATTGAGATTGCGACATCTGATTATTCGTTTAGTTGATGCAGGCACAAATTCACAAGAGCAGCTTGTTGTGGGACACGAAAGTGAAAGGATATATCCTACTTGCAGCAGAAGAATTGTAACCACCAAGGCACTGTTCATCCTGTGAAAATTAATCTGGAAATATATATAATATAAATATTATAATGACTTTTTTATTGTATATTTTCTTCCGCAATGTTTTATCAAAATATAAAATTTGACCAATTATTTGACATTTTGATAAACAAATATTTGGAAGACAGTATTTACTCGTAGAAAAATCGAAGTATATCGTCTAAAATCGAGATTCGAGAACATTCGTTCATTGCCAAGCACATTTCAGAGTGCATATCTCGATTACTTGGTGTGGATTTGTGTCGTATTTTTGACAACAATTAGTCATTTGTACCTTGGCCATCGACAATGTATTGTTTTATTTATTGCCAAGTCAATTCACAATTCGAATTAAATTAACCCTGCAGTTTCACTTTTTCGCGATTCGACACAGCTTTTCCGCGAAAACAATCCAGCTTTTCCGTTACAAATTATACTGCTTTTCCTCGATTATATTTATTGCTTTTCCGCGATTTGTCTTAGCACGTACCTCTCCCCGTTAGCCAAGTAAAACGTGTTTCTCCCTGCTTACCACCGGCTTCAGCCATTTTTGTCTTTACTGAGATAGTTGTATTCTTTTTGTTTCTACGTCGGCAATCCCTTTTGCATCGGTTGTAATTGTGGCTTTGCATATTTTATCTTCATCGGTAAGACACGTAGACTTTCTTTCAAAAACTGACCTTTCTATACGTAAATTCATCGTATATTATACATTTGTCACCACGATTTGTTTTTTATATGAACAATTCTCATAACATCTTTTACCGACCAGTGTTAAATGCGATTCATTCAATTTTTATCACAGTGTGGTCCTACCGAGTAGAACTCTGTAGGGAGATACATGTAAATCCAAGTAAATATCGGCAACTGTTTGACGTTTAGTGCTAACTGTGACCACTTAAAAATCGCGGAAAGGAAGTATAAAAAAAAAAAAAGAAAAAAGATAACGCATAACTTATAGCAAAATTCAATTGCGGAAAAGCAGTATGGGGTAGTCGCGGAAAAGCAGACAGGTTGCGAAAATAAAGTTGCAAAAAAGCTGGTCGATCTTTCACCCTACCCTGTATATCATGCACTCTTTTACTAGTACATGTACATAAGTGACAACATGCTCCCTTCGATCTTATTATTATGAAAGTCTGGAAATATTTTTAACGTACCAACAATTCTAAATTCAAAAAAATTAGACTGCATGTATAAGTAAAGCTAAATGTACGGTGCTTACCTGGGAGAAACAAACAATATGTTGCATCATTTACCTATAAAGTATAATTTATATAGTGTAATTTAGGAAATACCGGAAAAAGCAGCTGTTTTAAAAATATAATTAATTCTCCGCGACGCAAAAATTTGCAAGATACACAATATCTTGATCTAAATGGATTTCATACAGATGTGAATGTCCGAGAAGAAAGTACATAACATTGAATTCATGAAATATATCTAAGTTAGTTTTGCTATTGATAATCACTCCAAACTTTCTTTAAAACTAAATTGAATTTTACTTATTATTATTTTTTTTTTGTTAGATAATTTTTTTTCGATTTTATCATCATCTTTTCACCCTAGACATAATTTAACTTAATTTAGACCCTCAACGACAAGGAATAATACATGTATACGATAGTAGAGTTAAATAAAGTTAAATTTTGATTCCAAATTTGCAAAACATAATGTTTGTGAAAAGTAGTTTGAACCCATTTTATTGTTTAGATCTTTCAACAAGGGGATGGGAATCAAATTCTCAAAAACTAAAAACGTTCTCTCTTTTGCAGAAGATAATTACACAAAATAATATCTAAAATTACGTTCACTTGAATCAAAGGTCAATAAAATTATCACAAATAGTTAAATTATAATGAAAAGGAAATGTGCGTGTGAAATATGATGATAACAAACAGTAATCAAGCACAAAAGTCCATTGGAACAATACAAATTGGGTGCAAAGATACAAGGACGTCTAAGAAAATCAGGAGGAGTAAGCATTCCCCGTCGACCCCATTAATTACAGTGTATATGTTGATTTTTTTTTTCTATCTGGAAAATTATACTATGCAGATGTAAAATTTTAGAATACAAATG